TTTTGTCTTGTTTTTTGAGACAGGCTCTCCCTATGCAGCTCACACTGGCCTTGAGCCCACTTTGTAGCTCAGGCTGTCTCAAGTTCTCAGTGATCCTCCTGCTTTAGCCTCCCATGTGCTGGGATTACAGGTGTGCACCTCCATACCCAGCTTTTTGTCTTTTTGAGACAGGGTTTCACTACGTAGTTTAGGCTGGTCTCAACTTTGCAGCAATACTCCTGCCTCAGACTACCCAGTACTAGGATTACAGGCACACACCACTATGCCTGGACAATCATGCCTTTATTTATATAGGTTTCTCATAGATGGCCTTTATCAAAATGAGATTTTCCTTCTATTCCAAGTTAAGAACTTTATCATAACTCATTGTTTATTTTTCCTGGTACTAGGGCTTGAACTCGGGGCCTTCACACTGAGCTATATCCCTACCCCTTTCTTATTCTATCTTTTTAAATTTTGAGCCAGGGTCTCATTATGTCACTAGGCTAGGTTCAAACTTGCGATCCTCCTGCCTCAGCCTTTAACAGTGTTAGTATTAAAGGCATGCACCACCAAGCCTGGATAACTGTTTAATTTTGTCACATGTGAAATAGTCATATAGGTTTCTCCTTTATATCAATTACACTGATATTCACATTTTAAGTCAATCTTGATTTCTTGAAATAAACTTGAAACAGGGTCTTGCTGCGTAGTAGTCTGATCTTGAACTCACAACGTAGCAGAGGCTGGCCTTGCACTGGCAAGCCTTCTGCTTCACTCTCCACATACTGGATTACAGGTATGTTCCCCTGCACTGGTCTCAATTTCTTTAATTTGATATTAGACCACTGAGACTTCCTATTTCTTCAATGGAAGTTTTGTAAGCAGTGTTTTATTTCAAGGAGTTTGTCCATTTCATCCAAACTGTCATATTTATTGGCAGAATACTCCTCTTATTTCCCAACAGTGTCAGTAGTGATATACTGATTGTCATTTTATATTAGTAACTTCTCTGTTCTCATTTTCTTATGCACTGCTAGAAGTTGGCCTTTTTTTTTGGGTGGTACCAGGGATCAAACTCAGGATCTTGTGCTGCCAAGCAAACACTTATTCCACTGAGCTATCTCCCAGGTCCTGTCAATTTTATTAATGTTTTAAAAGAATTAACTTTTGGCTCTTAATTTTCTCTATTGTTTGTCTATCTTTACATCCTACTGATTTCCACTGCCAAGTTTCCTCCCTTATACTTTGGGTTTAATATTACTCATCTTCTTGTTTATTGAAATCGAAACATCACTGACTCCAACGTTCTTTTTTGCCGGGCATGGCGGTACACGGCACAGTCGTAATCGCAGCACAGAAGGCTGAGTGTAACTGCTGCAAGGTCAGCCCAGGTTACCTAGTGAATCGAGGACAGCTGAACTTACACAGTGAGACCCTGTCTCAACAAACAAACAAATAAACAAACAAGCAAAACAAAATAAAATGTTTGGTTTGGGGATCTTTTGGCATTAGGACAAACTCAGGATCAGATAGGCGTTGTGTTGCTGAGCTCCATCCCCAACCCTCTAGTTCCCTTTTTGTTATTAAATTCTAATTTAACTTTTGTGATCACGGAATACATTCTCTTAATACCTCAGTCTTCTAAAGTTTACTGAGACTCAGCTGAAGCCCCATGACTTGCTCTATCTTGGTGAGTAGTCATACGAATATGAAAAGAACATGGACTTCGTGATAACTGGGTACACCTGTCTTTAAATGTCACTTAGATTAAGGTCATTAGCTATTTAGCTCCAGAGGATTTGCTACTTACTTATTATGTCAATTCCTAAGAAAAGTTACAATCTTAATTCTAATTGGAGCTTTGTTTAGATCTCTTTTAGTTCTCAGATTTTGCTTCACATATTTTAAAACTGTTACCTAGATGCATCTGGATTGTTATAGCTTCCTAAAGAGTTGATCTTTTACCATTTCATTTTTTATTTTCATTTTTTAAATCTTTTATTTATTTAATAGTCTTGCTATGCAGCTCGATTTGCGGTGATCTTCCTGTCCCAGACTCCCCACTGCTGGCATTACAGGCGTGTGCCACCAGACCAGGTTTCAGTGGCGAGCATGGCACACATGTGGTACCAGGGATCAAACCCAAGTCCTTGCGCTTGCCAGGCAGGTGCTTAGACTGCTGAGTTTTTTTCCCCAGGCTCTTTTACTACTTTAATGTCTGTAAGAATAGCAGTGCCTCTGTTTCAAGTCATATTTGGTGTACAAAGGTCTGGCCATAAGGTCTAGCAAGATAGCTCAGCAGACTAAGTGCCTGCTTAGGCAAGTGCAGACACCTGGGTTTGACCCCCCAACACCACATGCTGTGCTGGCCCCACCAAGCCAGCCACTGACCAGGCATGGTGGCAACACCTGGAATCCCAGCACTGGGGAGGCTGAAAACAGGAGGATCACTGTGAGTTGGAGCTGCACAGTAAGACCCGGTAGCAAATACATTAAAAAAAAAAAAAGTCTTGATATAAACATAATCATACTAGCTGTTTTATGTTTACTGTTGGATATGGTGTTATTTTTTCATTTTTATTTTAAATCTACATGTACCTCTACACTTACAGTGTGTCTAATAACAGATAGCACATGGATTTTTCCATGTACAGTCTGACAATCACTGCCTTTTAATTGAATAAATTCATTTACACTGAATTATTGATATGACTGGCCTAAGGTCTATACTTTTGTCACTTATTTCTTCTTTTTATCCCAGATACATTTTGTTCCTGTTCCTGTTATTATGATTTAGATCTAAAATGTGCCCCCAAGACTCACATTCACAGGCAGAACCTGATCAGAACAGAAATACATAATTTTTTTTTTTAATGACAAGATCTTACCAAGTTGCTAAATTAGCCAGCCTAGTCTTGAACTTGTAATCTTCCTGCCTCAGCCTCTCAGAATGCTGAGATTACAGGTGTGTACCACATCTGGCTACAAATAAATTTTTAGACATTTAAGAC